TCACATTGCCAGAATATATTAAAATAAATAAATTGCATTTAATGAACAAAATAAAAAAGGAAAATAATTTTTAAATTGTTTTTAAAATGAAAAATAAAAGGAAAAATAACAAACTATATTCAAAGTATCAAAGAAAAATTAAAAGAGATCATAGAAAAATCAGAAGTGATCTCAAATAATTTTTATAAAATTTTTGGTAATTTTTTTAAAACAGAAAAGTATTTTTAAACTAATTAAAATTACTCAAATAAGTAAGAAAAAGATCAAAAATAATAGAAGTCAAAATAAAATTTTAGAAAAATTTCATAAAGTCATAAATAGGGAAAATGATTTTTATAAAATTTTTAGAATTTAAAAATACCAAAAAGTATTTTTAAATAATTAGAAACAAGTCAAAATAAAGAAAAAATTATAAAAAATATCAAATCTGAAAATAAAATCATGAAAAAATAAAAATCAGAAAGAGAATATTTGAAAATATTTTTGTGAATTTTTTCATTATTTTTGAGTCAGAAATGAATTTTCTATGATTTTTTAAATGTTTGGTGTAAAAAACAGAAAATAAAATAAAATTTAAAAAAATATGGACCATTGGATGAGAGTCAAAACGCGCTAGTAATCATATACAAAGGATTAGGCACGTTGTGCATATCGTGGTCAGCTTTGGAAATTACACCGGATCACCTTTTAATATTTAAAAACAACTAAAATTCTCGTGCGTTGTATGAAGTCTGACTAATGGAAGTAATCAGATCCAAGAGCTCTCAAAGCGTGCCTATGATAAAGCAAACATACTGGATTGAATTCAAAAAAATTACATGTCACACCTTAATTAGTTGAAGCATGACACGTAGGTCGTCTTCAACCTCCAGATGCCCTAGATTGGGGTTCCTCAAACTGTAAAATTAGAGGACCAGACCGGTACCATTATATTCGTCTCTTCAAGACGATTCTAATGGTACCCTCGCGCAAAATTTATATAAACTGAGCAAGGCTTGAATTGAGAAAAAGTAGAAATAATAGCGAGCACGAAATTCTGGAATATCTCACTCAAATCTCAATGAAATCACAAATTGTAAAAAGCATGAGAATCAAAAGGATGAAGAGAGTAAATTAGTCTTTTATTTGGATTTATTTGACCAAGAAATCTACCTGAACGAAGTAGCAAAAAGTGGCTCTGAAATAAGACTTTTGTAGATCAATATAGGTCACAAATCTTGAAGGTAAGAGTATGGTTAGCTTCAGAGAAGTTCAATGAAGCTAATTGAATGGAGTTTTTGGTGTTTTGGAGAGAGAATGAAAGAAATCAGAAATTCAAATTCATAGTTCGTGTGGAATCTGAACAGGGGTCAATTGGAAATCAAAAACTTGTGAAAATAGGTGGAATATGCATCTTATTTATAGGAGACGATGAGGAAATGCTTAAGCGTGTGGATGAGAGAGTAATTGAGTGAATTCGTATGAATCTATAGCATGAGTAATGTGTGACTTTTTTAGCATCAAAACTCAGCCAAATCCTGCATTTTATGATGCTAAATGCTTTTGTAAAGTTGCTAAACATGATTAGAAGCAAAAACGCGTGAAAACTTTGTGTTTAGAGGTCAAAATATGGATTTCAAATTCTGACTTTGGAGAAAACTTCAATTTCAAGGTACCAACTTTGAATCCATGGTGTTCATAGCTCAAGGGATCTTAGGGCATAATTCTTAAAGCATTTGAAAGATAAGGCCACCATCTTTGTAATGTGCCAAGAATGAGATCAAATGGATGCTTGAGCTAAGAGTTGTGATGAGTCAAATTTGAGAAAAAGATGCTGACTTTTTGTACTTAGAAAAATTCTAAGTTTTTCTTCAAAAGTGACCTATAGTGTTTGATTCCAAAGAAGGCCTTCCTCCAAAATCATGATTTGATCATTGATGCTATCTTGAAGTAGGCTTCCCAAAGAGCATTGTGAAACTTTAATCACTCAAAAATACCAAATATTGAAAAAGTTATGGCCTTGTGAAATTAGTGAAAATCCATGAGATGGCCTGTAATCTTTTGAGTTCTTAGGGAATCTTCCACCCATTTTCAAGTCTTGCACATAAACGAAGAGTTAAAGTTCACATTATTAAGACCATTGTGAAAAAATAATGGGCTCAAGGAGATAAAAATTGACCAAGTTATGATCTTTTGAAGTCACATAAGAGAATTTGATGGCCTATCTAGAGGATTTGTAATCTTTCTTTATCTTTAGGCATCTTCCACACAATGTTTTTTTGAAACTCTTGAAGTGATTAGTTGATAACCCTTTAAGGATAAGCATACCTTTGGAATCACCCAAAAATATAAAAATATGAATAAGATATAGCCCTTAGAAGTTAAAAACCCTAGCTCCTAGAGCACCAAAATAACTTGGAAACCCCTTTCAATTTTGACAATATTTCTTGCACAATCACTTTTTCCATGTGAATAGAAGTTGTTGTGGATGATAATAAGAACTCATAGCAACAATAACAACTTCCAAATATTAAGAATTGAGAGAGTTATGCACTTGTGATCAAGAAATCAACAACTTATCCAATTAGGTAAAACTTCTTCAATCAATCCTTGCATTTTTTGACCATCTTTGACAATTTGAGGCATGATGAATCATAGTATAACTTGTCATGATATTACTCTAAAGCATCTTCAATGATGAAGCTTTAATCTCAATAAAGCTTTGTTGAAGAAGGCATGAAAATAAACTCATGAACCTATAAATTAACCTGATGAAATGTGTTGTTCCCTCACCTATAGTATCATTAATTAGAGCAGACATTCATTGTATTTGTTAGTAAAAAGTTAATCAATACAAAACATATATGATCACAATATACAAATTAAGGTGCTTGGTGATCTCCCATGAGCAAACCTAAAGATAGAGAGAAGAACCAAACCCTAGTGTGATCTTGATATGATTGAGTTGATATGAGATGGTAGAGGAATCTTAGGGGCAAAAATCAGGGTACAACAATAACCTATTACCTAATCACTACCTTATGCAACTTTTACCTAGGAACCTCCTAGATATGAGAATCCCTCTCACTTCCCACAATCACCTCAGTGATAATAACAAAAGACCATAACAGAAGAACATACTTTCAATTACACACAATTTACTATTTACTTAAAAGCACATGAGTGATTGACAATAAACAATGAACATCAGTCAAACTCTGTGTATCAAACAATGACACATGAGTGACATACAAAAAACAAAACACACTTGAAAAACTCTCAAACTCTAAGACTCTTGAATACCAACCTTTCCCTTTTTTTTTCTTAACTTCTTAATACCATTAGATTTAGGTTTTTCTTTTATAAACTCCTTAATAGTCTATGAGCTTTGAAATCTTCACCTAATTTGTTGTAGATTCACAAGCTGAGGGCTGAACCAATTGTGCAGAAAAATCTCCTTAAATTTTACTACAAAACATCATAAGTTTCTTAAATTTTCTCAACATCCAATTTTAGAAACTAGTGTACAGTTAAAATAAAATCGATTGTTCCAAGTAAAATATTTTTGACCTGCACAAATCAATGACATGTATTCAAAAGAATCTCACAAAATCAAATCAAATATGTCAATAAAGTAACAATAGAACCTGCTATATCAGTTGACAAAGATGTCACAACATCTTACTTACCATCTAGAGGCAGCAACACCTACTATAACAGTTGTGAAACATATTTTAACAAAATTATTGTCAATAATAAAATCACAAATCTAATAATTTAAATTTAAATTTTATACTATTTTGTTGTGCATGTTGATTATATTTGAAACTTATAAAATTATGATATGTTAAAATTTTAAATATTTATAAATATTTAATATTTTTAAAGACTAAAAAATCTATATTATATATTTTAAAAATCAGATTGATCATACTAGTGTAGATATTAGATAAGTGATCTATTAATCGAACTATTAAATTTTTTATTAAATCAAATTAAATTGGATAATCGATTAAAATAGCGGATCTCTATAATAAAAATATATAATTGTTAAAATATTTAAAAGAAAAATGCATATGCTATGTAAGCAAGGAATCCCACAACATTGTCGAGAGACATCGTACCTCGCACGCACATGAAAACTATAATCACTGCATGGAGGCTGCTGAAACCTTTTAACAAAGTCAACTCTCCATAAACATAATCAAATGTATACTTGATTAATTGTCGGTAGTTTTCTAATATAAGTCATAGGTTATAGAAAACTTGATAATTAGAGGGAAATAGGAGGGAAATAGGTTTTATTAGTAACCGTGGCTTACGGTCTAACTTATATAATTTTTTAAGAGGTCATTTAATTAAAAAAATTAGATCTCGTGTCATAAAAAAACATTTTAAATCTAATAAATCGGCTTATATAAATAAATATGAATAATTTTTTTATTATCATTATTTCATATTTTATACTTTGAATCAAAATATAAAAATAAAAATTTAATTATCTTGAAAAACTTATGAAAATAATATAAAAACACTTTACAAACAATATTATAAATTGTTTTCATAAATTCTCTTAAATAAATAGTCTCATAAAATTTATGCTAATAAGTAAGTTAAAATAAATCAATATAAACAAATTTTTAATCTCATTGATTTTTTAGTTTGTTAATCTATTTAAACATAATTTGAATTGTTTATTTACCTATATCTAAAATAATAAATTTTTATGTAGGCTAACAAGTTAACAAAACCTTCGAAAAGATTAGATTCAGATACAAAAATAAATTTAAGACAGACTACAGACTAAACTTATATTTCAATTTTTTTAACCGATCAGATTTAAACTTAACTCGGCCCACTTCCTTCCACCCCTATTAATAGTATATTAAATTACCAGTTGGATTAATAAAACAAGAATATGCGATCATTAGAAAGACCATCTACTTCACTATATATACTCGATAACATTGTAAACATCTTCACACTCAATAAGCATCTAAAGTCTCTTAGTAATAGCTTTAATGGAGTTTTCACGTCTATCTCTTTTAACTATATCATGTGTAAGCAAGCCATCTTCTGTTTTTTTTTATCATAATTTACTTCCTAATTATTTGTTATTTGTAAGATTTAATTTTTCTTCACGTATAACTATCTAATGATTTCATAAATAAAAATTGATATTATATTACCTAATGACCTCATAATAATATATTAATAATATTAATAATAACAAGTAAATAATTTTAATGAAAAATTTAAAATGGTAGATCTAACATAATGTTTTTCTTTTTCAGCTGGCTCTTGTGGGAATAGTTGCATCTCATTCTGGTTAGCACTTAATATAGCAAGAGTAATTTTGTATCGAGCTATTCCTCTTAATAATTTATTATAAATTTTTATAAAATTTTAAATTAAATTAATACTTCATCTAATGTTGTAGACATGGAAGGCAAAGTACTCTTTTTGGAAAAAGACCTATATCCGGGCAAAATATTCAGAGGACTTCAAAGACTATCTAATGTTCAACCATTCCGATCAATTGGATGGTTGCCGATTGAAAAAACAAATCAACAATCCAAAAATGTAATCGAAAAAGAGAGATATAGTCTTGATGAGATTTGTGGGGGTCCTCCGGCTATAGGAGAAGACAAATTATGTGTAACATCCTTAGAATCGATGAAAGATTTTGCCATTTCAAAGCTTGGGACGAAAATCAAATCGTATTCAGGTTATTTTGCCAAAAATCAAGAACAATATATGGTCAAGGAGGTAAAGAAAATTGCGGACAAAGGAGTAATGTGTCATAAATTGAATTTAGGAAAAGATATATTTTATTGTCACCAAGTTAATGCGTCAACGACTTACATGGTTCCTTTAATCGCTTCCGATGGAAGTACGGTTAGGGCATTGGCCGCTTGCCACCATGATACAAGAGGCATGAATCCAAATTTACTTGATGAAGTTCTCAAAGTTAAGCCCGGGACTGTCCCAGTTTGCCATTTTGTTGGCAATAAGGCTGTTGCTTGGCTACCCATTCGTGTTAGGAGTGACTCCGATGAATCATTCTTGTGCAATCTAAGTGATTGGGAGTAATGTGATGTATAAATATTTAATCTTCTTTTTTATGTTTTCCATGTATTTCAAATAGTGAGAACTATTTCTCTCTTTGTGCAAGTTTGTTTCATATGACATATTACATGTAAAAGAATGTATGTTTGAATTTCATAATGCAAAAAAATAATTGTGTTTGATATGATATCTTCTTGATATGTATACTTCAACTCTTACTGAAAAACACTTTTTATATATATTACAAATGACTTTTTATACTGTTTTACAACTGATATAGGTTCATCTTTAAAAAAAATAATTTTTTTTTAAATAAAATAGTTTTTCAAAATATTATAAATTTTTTTTATTCGTTTTTTTTTAAATTGAAACACTAATTTTGACATCCTATAACATAAATATATATTATTAAAGATCAAAACATATTTAAAATTGCATTTTTTTCAAAAAAATTATATTTTAAAAATAATTTTTATGAAAATCTATTTAAAATAGTTTCAAAATTAAATTATTTTTTAAAAATTTTATATTCAAAAAAACATTCAATAAAAAGATAAAATACCTAAAATAATATTTTAAAAATAACTATTAAAATCAACTTTTCATTTTAAATTTTTATGAAAAACTTTTTTATAAATTATTATTATTCAAATTTATGTAATAATATAAAAAATCATTTTTGAAAAACCAAAACAAACAAAGACATAAACTTTCTATTAAACACAACAAGTATTAAACATTATCCTAATAAGTAAGGTTGATAACATGGATAAAATAACTCCATCAATTCTATTAAATACCATGTTTATATTCAAATAATTAATCCTGATATCTTCTTAATAGTTTCTCTTTCTTTTTTACGTCTTGATCTACCATTATCAGTTTAACTACCCATCATTTAATCTACTCTCTTAACTATAAAATTCACATGTCTTTTTCAAAGAGGAATTTATAACCAACAACTTAAATTGCTATAGTCCCTAGCAGGGCCAGACCGTAGCAACTCACTGCTTTTTGTTGGGGAAAGTGCTAGAGACCTTTTGATGACAATTTATCAAATGTATTAAACATATTGAAATAATAAAATTTATAATTTTGTATCCACAAGGATTATACTATTTTAACAAACAATTCAGGTGCTATTGAGAAGTAAAACTTGGGAGATTTGATTAAGAGTTGGTTGAATTAAAAATATTTAAAACATTGGTAAAATATCAAATCGATAGGAGATTGAGTTTTATTTCGAATCTCGTAAATTTCATTGTTGATGATTGCGTTTATTTGTCTAATTTGATTTCAGATAATTACGACAAATTAACAAGGATGATATATCCAATTCCTTAGTGTATAATTCACTAACTTAAACTACAACTTCCTAATTCTTTAGGTCGGTTGAATAGTCAAATTAGACCAACTAAGTTTGATAATTCTTGAGCCATAACTTATAATTATTTATCTCTAAATTAATTATTAAGTTGAACAATTACTCTAATTTAGGTTGATAGAGTTAGACTTAGTAATCCATACAAACCTAAGTTCAATTTGTGAGTTTGTCAACGCATAAAAAGGAATTACACAAAAGAGTAATTGAATAGAAACAATAATATCAAATTATATAAATAATACAAAATTAGTGCAGAAAGAGAAATTTACACTCATTTTTATACGTTTTACACATGTTTTTAGAGGGTGTAAATTCAAAATGTGAGAAATATATGTCGAATTTACACCCATCTTAAATGAGTGTAAAAAGATGGTATATTACACCTTTTTTTTAAGGAAAAAAGGGAGTAATTTGTTACATATATACATTTAAACCAAACAAATTTACATCTTATTTGATAAAAATCGTGTGTAAAATGAATAATACTTACTATGAATATCAACAAATTTACACCCTATTTTCTTTAAATAGGATGTAAAATTGGTATATTAAACTCTATATTAATTATCACGAATATAAAATATTTGATAATTATATTATATTTTATTTTATTTATTTCATTCAACTAATTTAAGACAATATGAAGATGGATATTCTTTAGTCTTATTCTTCTATGACAATATGACAAATAAATCATATTAAATATAAAATCTATAACCAAATCAATTTAGCTAACATAAAAGTAATTTACAAATTTAACTACCTAGAAAATTCTCTTTTTGTCAAGTATATGATGAATAAGTGGCCGCAATCACAAAAGGGGAGGTGAGTGAATTGTGGTACTTAAAAACATGATTAGTTTTAGCATTTCTCGATTAAGACCGTGTTAATAAGTTTATAGGTGAGTAAGCGTTGTGGAATTAAAGTACATGAAAGTAAATTGCTAAAAATAAAGATGATAAGGATAAAAAGATTGCACCAGAGAGTTATCTAGGTTTTGTCGAACGTTGGCCTAGTCATGTCCCTAAGAAGTCTTCTTGAGATTTTTCACTATATACTTTTGAGTTTTTAAAGGTTATGTCCACGAACCTTAATACAATTTGATCTTGAGATTTTGAACAGACTTATCTTCATCCTAAAGACGGCTTTTACTCCAACTTATTTTATCAATACAATCAGAGATTTATGTCTGATCTCTTTAACCAAAGCAAAGCTTTTCTGGCAAAGCTTAATAAACGAATAATAGAGATTTATGTTTGGTCTCAAGAACCAATACTCAATCTCTTAAATGTATCACACTCTTAAGACTATAAACGACCAACACAACCATTTACTAAAATATTCTCCTCAAAGATAGAGTTCCGCTCAATAGCACTTAGGCAAGCAATAATGAACTTGAAAATTTAGGAGAGAAAAATAATAAATTCCAAAGAAATAGAAAATCACAAGAAAATGGAGTGATTTCAAGTGAGGGAGACCTTCCTTTCTATAGTAGTTAAGATCACTCGAAAAGGAAAACATCCATGGACCGAATTGATTATCTAATCAATTAGCCTAATCAATTAAATACTCTAAATATGACCATTGAGTCCAAAAAGGAAGGTTTTGATATATAGTCGTTACATATCTTTAAGGCGTTATCTGAATGACTTGTACTACTATGGAAAACTCAATTAACAACGGTTGGGAAAGATATATAACAACGCATGCCCATGTGTTGTTATGTAGAGTATCGTTGAATATATGATACTCATAATCACAACCCAGTAATTGTTGTACTAAATTGGAAAGTGCGTTCCCTATCACAACGGTTTTCCAAAAGACCGTTGTGATAAAATTAATGGTCCTAGGTTCGATTCCCAACTGTGCCACTTTGATATTATTTTTTTCTGGACAGCGCGCCATATATTATAATGGTTATGACTATAACCGTTGTTAAATTTTCTGCATAATTAACAAATATTATCCTGTTTTTTATAATTAACCCCATTTTTTAACATGTATTATTGTTCACTATATCACAAGAGAAAATACAACTCACATTTGTGATAAAGTTATCTGAATAATATTAATTGTATCATATTTATAATATCACATAATTGTATCATATTCAATTGTACCATAACAAACATCCTACAATTTATCAGAACAAACAACCTACAGTTTACACATTATATAACATCACATAATTGTAACTTGGTGTTTTGGTTTCTTGTCTCTTGGTGTCTTGACTCTAAAGACCTATAATTTCAAATGATTATACTTGTTAGTAAAAATACTTGGAGATTATAACATACATGAATATATTATAAATAAAGAATAAATTACGTACTTGTTAATTTTCTCAAATGCTTTCTTCATGATCGATTCGAATAGCATGGACAACATCTCCATCAACTTCATCATATGAGGTAGGAACTTATGTTGTGTAAGAAGGTGCGGACAGAATATCAAGACTTTCATCACTAAGAGGAATATGTTTTCCTTGGAGAACGATTGACCATTTCTCCGATATGTCTGAATGGTCGGTAACATAGAAAATTTGTTTTGCTTGAGAAGCCATGATGAATGGTTCGGCCATAAAAGATGGCTTGCCAATGTTGACCCGGGTGAATCCTAAGTTATCAATGTATACACCATTACTATTATTTGGAATCCACTTGCATTTAAATAAACACACTTTGAAAATAACATAATCAATCTCCTAAATCTCATCAATGACACCATAAAACACGGTAGTTACCAATACAAGATTCTTATCTTTCGAACTAGAGAAATGCATCAATTCGGCTTCAACCATAACTCCACTTATAGTTACTCTCACATTCTTTGGTAGGATCCCCTAGATAGCCACTGGTAGAAGTTGTTGATGTAACACCCCAATTCTACCCGACAATTATATAAATAAATCAGAGTCATAAAATCATTCACGCAAACAAATCGGATGTCATAAATTCATCATTAAAAACTCATTGCATTAATCGTGGATATATTACACTTTAAAACTTCGGATGAACCATCAGCATAATACTTTAATTAAATAATTCAACAATTTAAACATCTACGCAGCGGAATTCTTAATAACATCTTTATCTTTGTTACATCAACTTCAAAACAACACATACTTAATAATAATCAACTTAAAGTTTAACCACTGAATAATCAACAATTAAAAGCAACAAGCGTTCATCCCCCCGAGTGTTACATATCAGAGCAATGACACTGACTCGAACTATTGAAGGTATACAACCTTCACTCTTGATTACCTGTACGTTACCAACATAAGAGCAACATTCAAACAGAAGGGGTGAGATATCTAACAATATAATAAAGCATATGATAATTAATATATTAAATTAGATCACATAATATCACCACATCTCATCTCATAATCAACAATAATCACAATAATAATACACATTCCCAACATCAATACACACTTATTTATGCAATCATATAATGTGACTCAATACTATGCAAATGCATGTGGTACCATTGGAGTAAAACTCCAATCTCAAAAATTTCCAATTAATAGAGGCATCAACAAGGCATAAGACTTCATCTCAATATTTGCCAATACATGCCATCTCAACGAGCATAAGCTCCATCTCAAAATGCAATGTATGTGACACAATCATGA